CACACACACACACACACACACAGAAGCAAAAATGCTCCCCAAGAGCAGTGGCACACTCTTGATGCTCAGTGCTGGCTGGCCAAGTGCAGGAAATCCAATAACAGGGATCAGAGGGCTGAGAATGGTGGAGCAGCCCTAGTCCAAACTAGACACCTGCCAGACCTGCCCTCTTCCTCTCTTTCTCTGTCTTTTGCTGTCTCTCTCTCACAAACTGTCTGTAACAGGATTGGGTCTGTGTTTATTAAGTCACTGGCTAGTTCTTTTAGTTAACATTTCTGTTGAAGCATGTAGCATCTAGTGTTGTCACAGTGGAGCTGAATTTTTGTTTTCTGAGAGCTAAATCACCAAATGTTTTTCTTACTCGCTTTTGTTTTCTTTTTTTTTCTTTTGCTTAGTGTCCATTGTCCACATACGTAGTGAGTGTGTTGTTCTGCACTAAAATAAAACAGGGCACAATGTACTGTGTTAATACTGTATGTAGGAATTTTCTATATCGATTTTTCACAGGTGTTTTACCTGTAGCACACATTGCGTTTGTGTTTTAAGATTAAAGGAAGTGTCTGCAAACTTAACTGTCCTGGCAGAAAATTACCAGTACCTTTTCAATTTTTTAATAGTTATTTTCTATCTATATTTGACTAATTATTGATGAGACTTTGCTCATTACATCACTATATTTATGTTTAGTAATGTTGTTGCAATACATATGTGGGTGTTTCTTCAGCCTCAAGCACTTTTATTTCCCGGGGTTGATTGTTTTTTAACTGAAAAACTTTTTACTGTTTTATGAAGGTCATATTACATCTTTTACCATCATTTTTTGTTGCTTTTTCAATTTCAATCTTAGACTATGACTAAGACTAAGTCCATCATAAAAAAACTATGTTAATACTAACATAATCTAAACAAAGAGTGAGTTTTTTAATAAACTGCTTTAATATATATTTTGTGATAACTATTTAGATAAATTTAAGAAATACTATTTTCCCTCTGCTGCTTTATAATTTTCATTATGCTAAACATCTCTGCCCCAAATAAAGTTCAAGGTGTAATTTTGTAAAATTATATTATATATATATTTATTATTTATATATATATATATATAGTTAAAACATAATTACGACAAAGGAATTGATATAGTTAATAGTTTTATTTTAAAATAAAAACATTTGTTTCCAATGTAACAAATTGTCGTTTGTTTGTTTTTTTTTGTTTGTTTGTTTGTTTTTTTGTCTAGTCTAGATTTGTTTCATTTAGTTTTGTTTTGTTTTGTGCATTTCAATCATTTTCACATGGCTACAGGGCAAAAAATGCCTGTAGTTGAAAATACTCCCTTATAACTGAGCTTGAATATATAACGTATGCTTACTTGTGTTAGCATGTGTGCTCATAGCTGAGCTTAAAATGGGCCACAACTGCTGTTTTGATGGCAGTGGGCCTTTGCTCACAGACAGAGTTCAGAGTGTTGGCTGACCGTGTCATAGATCTCCTCCTCCAGTTCAGAATCTGAGATGAGGCTCTGTGGATGCCAGTCGAACACTTATCCCCAATTCTGCGACATCTGCATCAGAATGTAGCACAGTAAAACAGCACCCCCTACTGAGAGCAGCAGGAAGACCTGCCACTCCAGCCATAAGAAACCAGAAAACAGACCTCCTTTTTATATTTTGGCATAAATAACAAATAAAACTAACTGCAGGCAGCTCACAGTAGCAGATATTTGTAGGAAAATGCTGATCGTAATGGCACAAATGATTTGTGTTTGGACAGTCCACTGTGTGTGTGTGTGTGTGTGTGTGTGTGTGTGTGTGTGTCTGTGTCTGTGTGTGTCTGTCTCCCTGCAGCTGCCAGGTACTTGGTGTCATATCACAGCACTTCTCTTAGCTTCCTAAGATGGTGACAATAGCAGTAGCCGACTATCACTGCAGGCTCACTGTGCTGCCAACACAAAGCAGATCCAATTTAGTTCTTGCCTTCAGCATCTGTGCAGCCATATTAACCCCTGCCGAAAGGAGCCGGTTGGCCCAATGAATTTAGAAACATGCTTGACTAGAAGCCAGGTTTGTCCTTTTAAATAATTCTACTTCAGTGTCTAAAGGGCAGGCTTTTGTTTTTTCTTGGCTTTGTGCAGCACATTTATTAGCGTGTATGAGTCATATTGTTAATTGTGAATTCATATTTACCCCTCTGGTGATATAGTATTCATGAAAGCCCTCATTTTCATTTTGAATTCTGAGGTTGTCACTAAACTGAGCTAAACCTTAAAACATTCTGACCAATGATGGGACAGTTTGTGTGTGACTCGTGTTAACAAATTTTGGTCTGTTTTGAAAATGAACCGAACCAATAATAAATTCCAATAATTTAGTCCATGTTATGAAACAAACCAAATTAAATACAGGACTTAAAATGTGTTAAGGTTTTCACACTGCATTTTAAGTCATTTTTGTATACAAATCAAAAGATTTGGGTCAGTGTTTTTAAAAGAAGTCTCTTACGCTTGCTTACCAACTAAAATACAGTAATATTGTGAAATATAATTAGAATTAAACATTTAAAACTTTTCTAATTTGATATATTTTAAAATATAATGTATTCCTGTGATGGCAAAGCTGAATTTTCAGCAGTCATTACTCCAGTCTTCAGTGTCACATGATCCTTCTAATATACCGATTTGCTGTAAAAAAAAATAAATAAAATAAAATACAGGTATTATCAGTGTTGAAAACAAAGTGCAGCTTAATATTTTTGTGGAAACCATGATGCATTTTTTTATGATTCTTTGATCAATAAAAATGTCAAAAGAACCACATATATTTAAAATATAATTTTTACAACAATGTAAAAGTCTTTATTATCACTTTTGATTAATTTAATGCATCCTTGCTGAATAAAAGTATTGTGTTATGTGTATAATTTAATGCATATGTGTAAATGAGCTGTTTATATGTGTGTTCTGCACTGAAAATATATTTGAATGCACTTTTGTAGTTTTAATAACTTCAATAACTGAGACTGTTATCCTTTGTTGATTCACAAATATATGTGATTTAAACAGTTAAAATACTCAGTAAGGATGCATGGTGTTTGTGCTGACTATCAGACTATCAAATGAGCTCCAGTCAACCTCTCCATAAATCTAGAAACTCCTCCGTAATAAATGCAATGTTTGTTGTACATAAACATTTCAAAGGTGTCTTGAAGTGTGACACCAGCACGCTGTCTGAGCATCTGAAGCACTTGTTTTAGGAAATGATCATGTGGCGTCATGAATAAGATGAGATAGTGGCTTATTACTGGATACACTATGCAGTCTTTAAACACAATCGCACTACAGCGTTGGGTTGAGCGTGGATGATGGCACTGTTGCTGTGACGTGTCTCGGGTGTTTCTAAATCAGGATTTATCAAGGGTTAAACCCCAAGAGGCCTGGCCCTCTGGGGCTAAGCATGACACACCACAGCAGACATGGCTCAAACACACCTTGCCCCTCTTCTCCTTTCTCTTGCCATAAATACCATCTCCTCCTACAGGAATACAGCTGTCAATCTTCACTGTTTATGGAGGAGATTATGCAACACTGACTCATTAAAAGCTGTTGTGGCCTAAAATTAATTCAGCATGGTGAATAAACACTCCAACTCAGTTTAGGGCTGTTAAGAGGAATTTTAATGATGTGCTTGAGCGAAGCAGTCTGATGAGTTTGGTAATTCTGCATTTTAAGTCACAACTTTGGATTGTTGTTCTGCAAAACAATTATTGAATAAAACAATATTATATGAACATTAATTTAATTAAACATGCTGAATGATCTGTGGTTGACATTTCAAGTAAATTTGCAGTCACGTAATCTAACACATAGAAAAATAAAGAATTACTTACTTACTAATTATAATGTGAGTTTAAAAAATAACTGTTAAAGGTAAGTACAGAAAATGTTTCACCATCAACTAGAGTTTTAATATAATGGATGCATAATAAAGGAATATTTCACTCAAAAATTCAAATTTGCTAAAAAAAAAAAATGTACTCACCTTCAAACCATCCAAGATGTAGATGTGTTTGTTTCTAAACTGGAACAGATTTGGAGAAATTTAGCATCACCAATGGAGCCTCTGCAGTGAATGGGTGCCGTCAAAATGAGAGCCAAACAGCTGAAAAAAGCATCACAATAATCCACGACTCCACCGCATCAGTTCATTTCTTGTGAAGTGAAAGTCTGTGTTTCTAAGAAACAAATCTGTCATCAAGGCATTTTAACTTTTAACTATTGCTTCAGGCCCAAATCCATAAGTTCATAATCCATAATGACGCTTCCTCCAGTGAAAAGTTCATCCCCTCTTGTCTTTTCACATCAAAATCCACCAACATATTTGTTTAGAACTGTAAACAGTGCTTGATCTGTGCACATTTCTCCTCAGAGAAGATTACTTTTTTACTGGAGAAAGCAGACTCATAATATTTTAGCCAGAAGCAAGAGTTTGAAGTTAAAAACGTCTTGATGAATATGATTATTGCAAACACACACAACTGATGGACTGGAGTCATATGGAGTACTTTTTGTGATTTTTTTTTTTTTTTTCCTTTTTTTTAATGATGCTTTTATCAGCTCTTTGGACTCTCATTCTGACGGCACCCATTCACTGCAGAGGATTTATTGGTGAGCAAGTGATGTAATGCTAAATTTCTCCAAATCTGTTGAAGAAACAAACTCATCAACATTTTGGATGGCCTGAAGGTGAGTACATTTTCAGCAAATTTTCAATTTTGGCTAAATCATTCTTTAAAATATACCCTGAGCAAACACTTTGATCTTCGTCTATTATATTTTTAATAAAAGCTTAATTTTATTTCATTTTTTTTATATTCATATTTTTTCATGTAAAATTATTCAATTTGTTTGTCTGTTTGTTATACATGTTCTTATTCAGAAAAACAAGCGGTGAAAGTTTGAAATAATAGTTTGAGTGGTCTCTCTTTCTGTTTGCTTTTCTTCACAGCCCCCACGGTGGTGTCGTTTTCGTTCGATGTAGGAAATGGGCCGGTGGAACTGAACGTGCACTCTCCTACCCCGCTGAACGATGACCAGTGGCACCGGGTCAGTGCGGAGAGAAACACGAAAGAGGCCATTCTGCAACTAGACCAAAAATACAAGGAGGTCAGACCTGCGCCTACACAGGGACACACACGCCTGGAGCTCTACAGCCAGCTTTATGTGGGTAAGGACCACATGTACATCCACGTATAGCGTATATATGGACTCGTGTGGGTGAGGACTTCAGCAAAACACATTTTTCCATACGCCCACCCCTAGAGTTCTGAAGCCTGTTCATGCTTAGTTATATTGTTGGAGGTTGGAGTACTGTTGTTTTTTGTAGGCATTCGTAATGTTATTGATGGGCTGCACAACTCTTGAAAATCTGATCAAATTAGATCTTTTACTGATTAAAATGAATTAGAAAATATTTTTCTTCATTATCTTTCTCATAAAATACACAATTCCTCCTGAATATCTCCTTTCTGAGCTGTTCTTGTGCCTCTCTCTATCTTTTTCCCACTCTTTTTCCTCTGTCTCTCGCTGTTACTGCTGAGAAATCAGCCGTTCTCGCGCACAGCGCTCTATGTTCTTGTGTCTGAAAGTGAAAATGTATTTATAGTCAGCAGCCTAAATGCAGGTGTAGCTATTAAAACTTGCACTTAATGACATGGAACCCTGGGGAACCTGTTCGCCTCCGAAGTATGAAAAAGTCCACTGTAAAGAAAAGGAAGTTGAAAATGGGTTTGACTGAATATGGTCGAAAAATGTCTCAGGCGCAGCAGGGAATGTGACTAATAATGGTGTTGTGTGTGCTATGCTAACATTAGCAAGGAATCTTTTTATGGCTTTAAAAGTGCGAACAAGCCGTGTCACTCAGGAGGCAATTATCTGTTGAACAGAATGGCTTTGGGCTTTCATTGTGCTATTTTGTGCTTTGACTTATTCTTTTCAACAACTGACTTTGACGCTCATTAAGAAAGGGGAAGATAATGCACCCCTGTGGCTCTCTTGAGAGAGCTTTTGGAAAGCTCGTCTAGCTTGTGTATTTAAAGATTGACGTCAAGAAAAATTTCCAGGTTTCCAAGAAGTTTTTATTGATATCAAAGTTATTGATTGGTTTTATAAAGCAGAATTCTCCAGAACAGGAAATATACATGTATATTATTATTATTATTGTTGTTATTGTTATTATTATTAATGTTTGGTAATTGTATTAAATTACAAAATTAAATTGATTATTCTATATAATTCTTTATTTATTTAATATATTATACTGTTTTTTATTATTTATTATTTAAAATACCAAACATACAATTATTATACTTTTTATTAATTTTATTATTTTATTACTTTTTATTAATATACATTTTTCTATGAAATATCATCTGAAAAATTAATATAGATTTAGTTTTTCTCTAAATTAGCTAAAGGAAAATGTTTAATTATTTTCATTTATATTCTTCAGCATAACAAAACAGTACTCATCAATATTCACCTACATGTAATTTTAATGAAACAATTTTGAAATTTATGTGATTAGAGCTTTGATTTTTTTTTTTTTTTTAATGGACAGTGTGAACTGATTTGTGGAAATAAATTAAACTTACCAACTGCATTTTTTTCACTTTAAGTTTAAATTAGACACTATTAGAATTTTTGATCTTGAAACTAGTCCAAAGATATTGCCCTATTGATAAAGACAGGACTTCAGTCTATACGTCTTGTGAAGTGAAAAGCTGCGTGTTTGTAAAAAAGCATGCAGTACATTTTCCGCAAAATTTTCATTTTGTGGTGAACAGTAGGGACAGTATGTTGGATAGTGCAACCAGCAAAATCATGTATTAATATTCAATATATTGCAAGCCATAACCCCCTCTAGGTCTCATTTGCATGTTGTCCATGCAGCAGATGAAAATTTAATTCTTATTCTCGACTTAGATCTGAAGAATGTTGGACTGGCATATCAATTTCAATATCATGCACACTAGGGTTAGGTGTAATGAGCTTTGCAGTCCAAATGAATGTTAAAGGTTGTCTAATCCTTGTCTGTTGTTTCAGTAGAAATGTAAAATGTTGACATGGCTGTTCGTGGAGAGCAACTCTGTCTTTAGACCCTGACCCTCAGTTGGAAAACTAATTGGTTTATATCCGCTGAGTGGGCTGGGGTGGACCTGTCCGGACCTGTCAAGCCTCCTCTCCTCTGCTTATGAATGCTCAGTTTTCAGACCATTTAGTCTCATGCCATCATTTATTGATAAAGCAGATTGCCCTCTACTTCTGTTCACCCATGGATGCTTGTGTCTATTTGAATTTGTTTTGCATTTATAGCGGCCTCTTTATATTTAATGGAGGATTAAATGCTTGCTCGTTTTTGATTGTCATTCGCTTCATCTCAAATAACAAGCAGACCTTTGATTTAACAACCACTAACACAATGCATTCGTTCACGGTATTAATATGCATATGTCTGTTTGCATGAATCTTTACTATCCACCATCAAGTTGCTTCTTGCGATTTACTTTCTTTTGAAGCCTGGCCTTGATTAAGCATCAAGTTTTCTAATCACTGCATGTTTTTTATTCATATTTATTTTTATTTTGTTTTTTTTGTTTTTTGGTGTTTTTCTTTCTTTCATTGCTTGCACATCTGGGCGATATTGGTTCTCCAAAGGGAAGCCAGCTTCATGGGCCTGTCAGGATAGTAGGTAACTTTTTTGTAAAATGTACGACAACATAGTCTAGTTTAACCTGAAACTTCTTGTCTGTCTGTGATATTTTGGTCAGGTGACCTTTTAATTCAGTATAAGGCTATAAACATTCTGTGCACTGCAATGGTAAAAGCAGAAAAAAATATTCCACTGGGCAGGATGGTCTAATAAATGTAATATGCTAATTCATTACGGTTTCATTAGAGAATAATTTCCAATTCAGGGCTCATCAGAGATGGAGGCAGTGAACTTAAGAGGGGTTTTAACAGCTCTTTCCTCACTCAAGCTTATTCATGCTGCTTCACTTTCAAAAGTTAAAACACATCCTGTATTTATGAAAAAGTTTTGTGAAGTTGATTCTTCAGTGACAAACAAGGGCATAAAAAGTGCCTGCTAAGTGACATGAATCAAATTGGAACAATATTGCGACGAGGAATAAATAGAAATGTTAATTAAAATGATCTTGTGTTTATCTCATGTTCGTCCTTGAAACATGAGACATTGTGTCTTTCATTTAAGTATTATAAATAGCACAGCATATTTTACTGTACATTTGATGATAAGAGCTCTGCTCTCAGGTTTATTAGCAAAGAATTCAGTGAGTTGGTTTGTATTATATACCCAAGCAGGTCACCAGCGCAATTAACACTCCACTGTCGATGTGAGTTTGAGTTAAATTGAGTTTATAAAACTTTGAAAATGTGTTTTCTGTTCTTTTTTTGTAAAGCATAACCAAACTGCCATTATTACTTTATATATCTACTGTATATATACTCCAATCCATATAATGTCTTTGGAGGAATTGATAAAGCTTTCCTCATTTGGCAGCTTGATAAATTTTAGCAGGATTGTACTTGTGGGTCAGTTTTTATTATTTACCGTTAGTAAATAATTAATGCATCCTTCCAGGACATTTACTATTAATCTACTATTAATCTAGCAAATGATTGTACGATTTCTGTTTAACTGGGCAGTTTCGTGTAATGAAAAGATGTCCAGACAAGACATTGAGCAATTGGCGAATGTTTATTTTCTCCTGGAAGTGGAGCTCTAATGATGTCTAATTTCTCTAAGGTCTATTGTATTGAATGGTACATGCCAAAATGAATGAAACCCACCAGAAGGTTCAACTATTGGCTGAGACTTAATGTTTAAAATTTAACCTCTTGTTTTCAAGCTAGTCTGCAATAGAAATGAAGGATTGAGTCATTTTGTTGGGCCACTTATGCTTTTATTAAATGTAATATTGACTAGTTTTTGTCTCCATTTCTCATCCAGGTGCAGCAGGAGGTCAGAGAGGGTTTCTCGGATGCATCCGCTCTCTGAAGATGAACGGTGTGACCCTTGACTTAGAAGAGAGGGCAAAAGTCACTCCTGGTGTAAAACCTGGCTGTTCGGGTCACTGCACCAGTTTTGGGATGTATTGCCGTAACGGTGGCAAGTGTGTGGAGAAATACAATGGCTATTCTTGTGACTGCTCCACCACTGCTTACGATGGGCCTTTCTGTTCAAAAGGTCAGTATGCATATGCAAATTAGAAATTCATACTTTTAAAAGTTTTCTGTGAAGTTTATACACCTCAACCAGAGATATGACACTGAACAATTTGTTTTTTAAACCTGTGACTGGCAGGAATCTCTGAGGGCAACTCTTGTACTTAAGCTCCGCCTCCCTCGTTTGAATATAGTAATAGCATCACTGACATGAGCAGGCCCCTTCTGTAGTTCGTGCTCTATGTCGAGACCTCCAGCAAGCATCTCATGCTCTCTGTTTAAAAATGGCGACTCGCTGTGAGTCAGGGCCTCTGATGGTTGCCCTCAGCTTTCAACATCTCCTTCTGCTTGAAATATGCATGAACAACCTCGTAATTGCAAAGTTTTAACTCACATTTCCATTTTACACATATTTATTTGTGCCGTCTAGGGTATTGCAGTCAATATCGAATTCTCTCAGATTCTTTGCCTCTGGGTCAGTGCAATTGCTCCCACAGGCTGCCTTACATCTGTGGCTCAATACTACACATCACCTTCACTCCAGGATGAGGAATCTCTTTGCTGTTTCATTTGGATTCAGAGCTATGGATGTGGATTCTTAAATCTATATGTTATTTAGTGCTATTTTTTCTTGATTTAAAGGGTTAGCTCACCAGAAAATGAGAATTTACTCACCCTCATGTCGGTCTAAACCATGCATGACTTTCCATTTTTGCAGAACATAAAAGAAGATATGAAGAAGAAAGATGTCTCATTTTTTGTTTTTTTACAATAGAAAGACCGTCATACAGGTTTAGAATGGCCTGAGGGTGAGTAAATAATTGCAGAATCTTTTTGGGGTGTACCTAAATGCAAAGCCATTAAGAAAAGGACAAAATCTTATTTTTAAAAGATCAGGGCTGAATTAAGACAGATAGAAAATGTTTTACAAAAAGACACCATATTTCAAATGTCTTAATGCAAAAAACAACAGATTTGCCAATAAAGGGATCACTTGCTTTAATGTAACAAATTAAGATCTTGAATTTAAAGGGATAGTTCACCCAAAAAGGAAATTTCTGTCATCATTTACTCCCCCTTCACTTGTTCCAAACCTGTATGAGTTTATTTCTTCTGTTGAACACTAAAGAGGATATTTTTGGAGAATGTTGGTAAACAAGCAGTTGACATTAGCCATTGACTTCCATAGTATTTTTTTTCCTATGGCTACCATTAACTGTTTGGTTACCTGGTTACCGTTACCAACATTCTTTAAAATATCTTCCTTTGTGTTCAACAGAAGAAAGAAACCCATACAGACTTCGAGGCTTTTGCCCCATTGGTACTAAAACATGGTGGTTCTTTCTCAGTTGCCTCTGAACCGCGTGTTGCAGCCTGGTGGAAAAGTAAAGATTGCTCAAGGACCTCGCAGCAAATAATTAAACCAATCTATAGTCTCCGCACTGATTTCCTTCCTGCTCCCGATACAGCATTTGTACAAAGCTCATTTGTACTTAGCGCTCTGTTCCCGGGGGTAAAACGGCTGAATGAGAGAATGCCATGAATAACAGATAAACCCGCCTCGTCCTCTGTGTACATGAGATATTCGGTGCGGGTGCACATTGTCATGTTCGTTCACTCTCTTTTTACACTTGTGTGTATTTACTTCATTACCCATGTTGATTTCCCATGGTTCTTCCTGTTCCACCCCATATGCAACAAATCCTGTGTTGTTTATACTGCTTCTGTGTAAGACAAATCTATGCACACTTGCACTTGTCCTAGCAGTCGGGTTAAACGATTCGTGTAAGGACCTTTGTTCTCCCCCTCAAGTAAAAAGGTAATAGGAAAGTGTCCTCTTGGTTTAGCTGTTGAAGAAGCCCCTCATGAATACAAAACATGCCGGTAATGTCGGTTTCCTTGCCCTTCTACACTTTTTCAGGCTAAGAAACACTGGTTTCAGAGTTTAGACTTTTTTTAATTGAACACACACTATGATTCGCTATGATTCAAAAGTTTGGGTTCAGTAAGATATAATATATTAGGGCTGTCAGTCGATTAAATTTTTAATCTTAATTAATTACATGATGTGTCGATAAATTCATCTAATTAATCGCAAAATAAGTTTGACTGAAAATACCCATAAAAGATTATATAAAGCTATTTTTGTGTTAAATGAGAAAGTATCAAGTAGACATTACAAATTGTAGCTTTAGAAATAAGTATTTTATTTGATTCAACATGAAATTTATTACACATAAACATTTAGGCTACAACGGCCTAACATAAACTATGGAACATAAAAGAAGATCATTTGAGAAACATCTCAGTATTTTTTGTTCATACAATAAAAATCATTGGTAACCAAAACAGCTTTGTTACCAAAAGTCTTCAAAATACCTTATTTTATCTTCCACAAAAGAAAGATTTGAAACAACATGAGGGTGAGTAAACGATGACAGAATGTTAATGGTTTTGGGTAAACTATCCCTTTAATGTTTTTATTTTTATTATTATAATTTATGAAATGATGCCCTAAATAAGAAACTAAATCTGCCAGCAGGTGGTGGTAAATGTCTTTATGAGTCATTTATTCATTCGATTCCTTCAAACGGCTGATTCATTCAGAAACTAAATCCCGCTGTTTTGCTCGAAGATGTGCAACAATTCTGCTATGGCTAAAGGTAATATGGCAAAACACGCAAAACACACTCAAACATTGTGTTTAAAATATAACACCATATCAGCTTCTTATTTACTGAACTGTTGTATAAAATCACATTTAAACTCATAATATCGAACAAACTCGGGACAAAATCAGCACTCATGTAATACTGCTCTCCCTGCTCGCGGGATATCGCTTATCGTATGATATAAATATGAGACAAAAACCCATACAGGGGCATTTTTTGCACCAATATCTTGAATTTTAGGGCATAACTGCATTTATGGAGTCGTTGCCATATTTGTCAACAGTCAACTATATGAAATGTAAGATGACAAACAGGTCTGGGGGGAGGGGTCAGTGCGTTAATAGTGTTAAAATATTTTAATCGTGTTATTTTTTCATAACTAATTAATTAAAGCGTTAAACTGACAGCCCTAATATATATAATGCATTAAATGCATGTGAGATAATGCATTAAATTTGTCAAAAGTGACAATGAAGACATTTTTAAAGTTGCCAAAGATTTCAATTTTAAATAAACTTTCTTGAATTTCTTTGGTAATAAATAAATGTCTTAATTGTCACTTTTGACCAATTTAATGCATTCTCTCTAAAAAAAATAAATAAATAATTTTTATGGATGCTCCGATCAGGATTTTTGCAGCCAATACCGAGTACCGATTTCTTGTCATGGTGATCAGCTGATACAGATGCCGATTCTGATGCTTCAAGGCAAGCTTTATATAACATATGTTGTAATAATGTTATATAAATCACAAAAATTATTCCTTATACAGTGAACATTTTAATATGCCTTTAAAATGGGGTTTATGCATAACATTATGTATATCACGATACTTAATATAAGACAAAAATAAATACAAACAAAATGGAGCAGTCTGATGCAGCCCACAAGGTTTAATTAAACATTATCCAATAGTAAACTGTGGAGGACAAAATAAACATTTAATCTCATAAAATTGAGAAGTCTGATGTAACTTAAACATTGTCCAATACAAGTCTGAGCAGGACAAAATTAATAATAATAATTAAAAAAAAACATTTAAACTCATAAAAGAACTAATTGGAGTAGTTTGATGCAACTCATTAGGTTTAATTTAACATTGGACAAAATAAATAGAAACATTTAAACTCCAACATGGAGAAGTCTTATGTAACTCATAAGGTTTAATACTGTGCAGTAAAAGACTGAAGAAGGAAAAAGAAATAGAAACATTTAAACTACTGAAAGAACAAAACGGAGTAGTTCGATCACGGTTATATCCACGGGCGCTGCGGATAATCCGTGGGTTGGGTAATAAAAAAATGCATTCTGATTATTTGCGGGTGGATAAAATAAATCATAAATTATGCAAATATTAACTACATTTTTTAAATACATTTTTTTTCATGAGGCAGACGATTTCGTGTGTGTGTGTGTTCGTTCGCCTGATCGGGAAGTTGCAGTGACAGAAATGGTTACATTCCAGATAAAGTTTGAAAAGAGTAAAGCCTGTGTTAATGCTATTTAGTAGACTAATATGGCCAAAGAAGATATTTGGTTTTATAAATAAATTTTAAAAGCAGCCCACAATCAGCGTGTTATGTTACCGTTATCCCTTACGGCTCCGACAAGGTTTTGTTCCGTCCTCCACACTGTGACAACTCACAAAAGCCTAACTTAAAGGGGTCATATGATGCAATTTCAAGTTTTCCTTTCTCTTTGGAATGTTACAAGATGTTCGTGAATAGATAAGATCTGTAAAGTTGCAAAGACTAAAGTCTCAAACCCAAAGAGATATTCTTTACAGAAGTTAAGAGTCAGCCACACCTACCTAAAACGGCTCGTTCTAACACACCCCCACATATCTACCTCACTATGT